AAACCCTTAGCTGCAAGCCCCTGTACAAATGAAAAGAAGGTTAAACACTTCCAACATTCCATGGCATAAAATAGACATTTCCATCCTAAAAGTTACAAATGGAGTTGGCAAGAAATGGGACCAAAGTGAGTCCAAAATCCAGCAAGCAAACATTAAGTCCTATAGTTCCATGTCCACATCTGAGGCAGTCTGTGATAAGATGTGAACTGTAAAGGGCTTGGGTGGCTCTGCCCCTATAGCACTGCCAGTGGTTGTAGCTCCCCTGGCTTCTCTCTAGAGATAGCTCTGCTCCCTCTTTGTAGTTTTCTTCCAACAATCCATGTTCTTGACTTCTCCAAATTTCTGGGGTCTCCACTGCACCTTCAACTTCAAACTCACAGCTTTATACACTGTCCTCTCAGGGACACACACCTGGCCTCCAGGCCTTCTTCTGAAATCTGGATGAACGCTTTTCTGACCCCACAATTCTTGCATTCTATGTGCAGCTAAAACCACCAACACATGTATGATACCAGGGTCTGCCACCGTTTGGAGCAGTAGCCAAGCTTCCTTCTCTCTTGTCTGTAGGGGCTGAGTACCTGGGTTACTGAGCACTCTGAACCCAATCCTGAGGAACAAATTCTCTAGGCCACCACTACCAGGGACCCTGGCGGTATGTTCCAATATCATGATCAATGCTACAGCACTAGGGGAGAAGAAAAACTCAAAGACAGAATGAAAGAGACAGAGAAATGGAGAGCCAGGATGGGCAATACTAAACAAGGAGCAAAAGACCCTGGCCAGCCAAAGCCATTGATATTTATTGGTGACATCACAGTTAGGTCAGAATAAAGGGACTACATGTAGTTGCTAGGGATACATTGTTGATGTTGGCAAAGCTTGTAAAGAAAGAGACAAAATATTCTTGAATTAGGAACAGAACAGACAAAATATAGGTTATGGTTAATAATTAACTTTGTCTTTTTATTAAAGAAGGTTTTAACTCTGGGAACAGAATTTTGGTGCACGTCACTGTGACCTCAGCCCATAGGCTTTAGCCAGACTCACGCCTATAAGCAAGCCAGTTCCAGGGTTAACTCTTTATAGGCTGCACTTCTCACAGCCTACTTTGGACATAACCAATGGGCAGTCTACCACATACCACTATTCTGGAACATGGTGCTCTGGGGCTCTCTTTTCAAAGCAAAGTCTTTCACCTTTGCAAGTCTGAGGCTACAAAGGCTGGAGTCCTGCTGGTTCTTGTGATGTCCTGAGACCATCTTTTCTATTACTTTCTTCGAAAATACTTGGCTTTTTTTTTTGCTAGTCTTTTCAGGGACCAATTTCTCCTTTGTTCCATTTTGCAGGCCACGACTTTGATGGAGCTTTCTTTCTGATCAATCTCACAACATTTTGAATTATGCTGCTGGGCTCTTTGTTCAATATAAATCTGGCTAAAAGCCCCCAACAATAGCCAAGCCACTGGCTTTACATTAGACTGCCTTGAAATTTCTTCTGCAAGATTAGTCCACTACCTTTAATCTCAGTCTCAGGAAAAGTCTCTGGACAGGAGCAAAGTGCAGACAAACTTTCTGCCAAGTCAAAATACTCATTGTCTTGAGTCCAACAGTCAATGCAGTCCTTCTTCCAAACAGAAACTTCCTGAGCCTGGTCTTTGTGAGGAGACTTTCTATCACATTCTGGTCTTCTGAGCTCTGACCAGAATCTGCTGTCAAGTACAGCCTTGGGTATTCCAGGGCTGCTTTTCCAGCTGGCATCTTTGAACCTTTCCAAACTCTTCCTACAAACCAGTTCCAAAGGCTCCTGAACCACATGGTCAGATGGAGTCACAGCAACAACCCCACTTCTCTGGTACCAAATTTTGTCTTAGCTACTTTTTCTCATTGCTGAGACAAAGTACCCAACACTCAAAGTTAAAGGAGAAAAGGTTTATTTGGCTCACAGTTTGTAGAGGTTTCAGTCCATAGTTAGCTGGTTTCAAGGTAGGATGGAATGGCAGGACATCACAGAGAAGTGGTCCACAGAAAGCAGACAGGTGAGAGCACATTACCCTTATGTTTTACATAGCACTCACACCCTTAATCCTAGCCAGAACTATGCCAAACTAATCAGTGGACACACCACTGAGCCCAGCACCACACATTCTATATCCAGTCACTTTTGAAAAGCCCATCCCCCATGAGTGCATGAGGTTTTGGGGGTACATCTAGACATAAGCCATGACATGAAATTTGGCAGTATTTTCAATACTGAGCTGTAAAAAGTATAATTTCTTAGTCTTTCTCAATTGAAAATGTCTACAACTTTCAATTTTGCATAAAGTTAGATTATATAACAACTCTAATTGTTTTCTTTTAGTATGGAATGTACTTCTTAATTGTCTTGAAGCATATATTCATTGTATAAACATTTTCTATTTGCCTAAATTTTCTTACTCTGTAAGTACTAGGTATTCCTTTTTGTTATTATAAAAGTTGTTGTAAAAGTTTTCTTTTTTTTTGTATCTGTAATATCACTAAGGTATGTCTGGCTTAGGGTTTGTTTACAACTTCTGTCTAACACTGTGTAGTTTAATTAGAAGATGGATGCTTCATGCTTTATTTATTTTTTAAAAATAGTAACTTGCCAGGTATAGTGGTGCAGACCTATAATCTCAACTACTTGAAAAGTTGAGGCAGCAGAATCCTGAGTTGGAGGCCAGCCTGGGCAACTTAGTGAGACTCATTCATATGTGAGACCCTGGGTCTCCAGTACCACATATTATGCACACACACACACACACACACACACACACACAATTAACTCATTGTCAAATCCTGCTTTGCTCACTTACTTCTGGAACTCTTTAAAATACATTGGACCAGATGTGGTGGTGCACACCTATAATCCCAGAACTTTGGAAGCTGAGACAGGAGAATTGCTGTCTGTTCAAGGTCAGCCTGGTCTACATAGTAAGACCCCATCTCAAAACAAACAAACACACACACACACATCATACTTTATCACAGTAGTGAAGGGCTTCTCACAATCCTCACAGTACAGCTACTACTGCACTCTCTGGCCTCCTGGTTAATGGTGCCCTTGAGCCACAGATTTTCTCTAAAGCATTCACCCTCAAGTGCTCACTACATCAGAGGACCTTTATCAGACTCTTTCCTGAGCTGATGCTGTGAACCCCCGTTCTGCCAGCTGGCAGGAAAGGTTCATACACCTCTCTTCTGGGGTCCTTTTCTTCTCCTACAACACTGAATGCTTTCAAGCACTTGGGGCAGTTGCATTTTTATCATTACTTATATGAGGATTTATTTGAGGTTTGGCCATTTCACTAGATTCCTGCACCATGATGCCAGTGTTTAAGTCTCTGTGTCCTATTGGCAGTCACTAGGCACTCAGGAAATTATGTACAGACTGGAACCAGTCAGGAACTATCAAAACATCAGGGCTTTCAGCAGTAGTTTTTCCTCTCCGAAAATTCACTGGAATTCCTTCCCAGGAAATGAGTTTACTTTCTTTTGCTGCAGTTACTTAGCACAGTGAAAGGCTTGGAATGGATCTCTTCCAGGCAAAATAATATGCACAGTTCCCATGAGCCATGAGTGTTTCTCTCTCATTAGATATCCTCCCACTTTAATTTCTATAAATTGTATGTGACTTATAGCTAGAGAATGTGCCACCCACTCTGGTCCCTTACAGGTTAACTTCTAGAAAAAATAAGCAAGTTTTAACATCATGATACCCCCTGAAACAAAATAAGAAAGTGAATATTTCCTCACACTTGAACCAAAGAAATAATAATTCTTAAGGCACTTGTTTATCAAATATTTTTGAATCCCTCTTAGTACAAATCCCTCTATTAGGCCATCACAATGCAATGGGAATAACAAAAATCAAATCAGGGCCTTATTGTCACTGAGATTAAATTTCATGTGGGAAATATTATTTCCTTTCTTTTCTTCTTTTTTCTTTTTTTCGTTGTCTTGTACTGTGGATTAATCCCAGAGCTTTCACACTAAGCTACATCCCCACCCCTGTTTTATTTTTTGATTTTGAGACAGGTCTACCTAATTCACTAAATTGCCCCGGCTGGGCTTGAATTTGTGATCCTCCTGTCTCAGCCTCCAAGAGTGCTGGGATTACAAGTATGTTCCAATGTACACTGCTGGGAAACATTATTTTAATAGTAACAGTACTGCACAAAATATAATTTAAAATTATGTGAATAAAAGATACGATTTCTTGGGAATATTTAACACATTAACATAAACTATAGGTGTAGTAGGACTGAGAAGGCTTAGTTCGTGAGTGACTCCTTAACTCAAATGCTAAATATGTGTAGGAGTTCATTCGACAAAGAGGAAAGGTGAAAGCATTTCAAGAAGACTTATTAGTATGTGCAAATATCCTGTAGCAGAAAGCAGACTGGCAATTGTGAGGGTATTAAAGAAAACCAAAGAGATTCGAGAACAGAAATACAAATGGAAACTTAATAGAGTTGAAGATGGAGAGATTTTTTAAGAGTAAGACAGAGGCACATTCTGGAGCTGACTAGGGTCAGCTAACAAGGGTCATCATATTTTCTGAAACACAACTGTTATTATAATTTTTCAGATTATCTGGTGTTTTCTTGTTTTCAGCATGGAAGAAATGTTCTCATGTAACTTTCTTCATGCTGTGCAGAAGTCCTATTTTTTTTAGAAATCAGTTCTATTTTTGCATCAGGATTCTATCTTTAATGGGTTGAGCAGAGCCAGAAATAGAATGTTCATACATAGTGCTTGTGTTTTAGGAATGTAAAATTGTGTTTTCAAACTGTTGGCACTTTGTTTGACAATAGCTATTCTGTAAGTTAAGACTGAAAACTATAAGCAGCAATGGAATGCACAATTCCTCATCATTCAAGAGTCCCACATCAGATTAAAGTCAGACAGAAAAAAAAAATTGTTTCTGGTCTACTTGCTTTGGGTCCTTCTTCAACACAATTACCTTGTCCTTCCCACCAGGTTGTTGACCAGATTGATACCCTGACCTCTGACCTGCAGCTGGAGGATGAGATGACTGACAGCTCCAAAACGGACACCTTGAACAGCAGCTCCAGCGGCACCACGGCCTCCAGTACAGAGAAGATCAAAGTGCAGGCCAGCGCGCCCCTTATCAAACCCCCCACACACCCGTCCGCCATCCTCACAGTCCTGAGAAAGCCAAACCCTCCACCACCTCCGCCACGGCTGACACCTGTGAAGTGTGAAGACCCCCAGAGGGCTGTGCCCACTGCCAATCCTGTGAAGACCAATGGCACGCTTTTGCGAAACGGAAGCTTACCGGGTGGACCTAGCAAAATCCCAAATGGAGACATCTGCTGCATACCCAGTCTTAACTTGGACAAGACCCCACTGCAGCCTCTGATGCATAGACCCGAAAAAGACAGATGTCCCCAGGCAGGGCCTCGGGAACGAGTGCGGTTTAATGAGAAAGTACAATACCATGGCTACTGTCCTGACTGTGATAACCGCTATAACATAAAAAACAGGGCGGTCCACTCGCACAGCGAGCCTGTCCATCAGCCAGGAAAGACTCCTCACCAAGGGCCTCCTCTCCCACCTGCCCCCCACCTCCCTCCCTTCCCACTAGAAAACGGGGGCCTGGGAATCAGCCACAGCAGCAGCTTCCCCCCTCTCAGACCTGCAACTGTGCCTCCTCCCACTGCGCCAAAACCACACAAGACCATCCTGAGGAAGTCCACCACCACCACAGTGTGATGTATGCCATTTTAAAAACTTCTTGGTTTCTTAATTTCTATATCGTAAGCATTAAATAATAAGTAATGAGCACTTTCTACTCAAGCAATAAAAAGCTCAAATATATTAATCCTGCATTCAACAAAGTGGCATAAAACCACCTGGTAAGTATGCAGTGCATTGCTTATATCCTGGGTTTACATTATTTTAAATGTTAAATAATCAAAACTGCAGAATAATGAAAAAGTATGAATGCATTGTTTTTGTACTTGCACTAGACAAAATATGACCTTTCAAATATCAAATATTTTGATTTATTAAAATACTCAGAATGATTCATTTTATTCATGCCTAACTCATCTATGCATTAATAACATGTCATACTCTTAACTTTGATCTGATGCTTTATAATAAGAAATTTTTAAAATGAAAGACTATTTTATTATTTTTTTCTAAAGATGTTTGTCACTAGTTTTGCATTTGAAAATGATATCAAAAAGTTTATTTTCTATACTATACAATTATATGTTCAGCTATATATGTAATAAAATATTTTGGTTTGTGGAAACATCATTATGTCAATAAATCATAGTAAATAATGCCAAGAGCAAATGTTCCTCAGAATTTAAATGAAGGACCAGTTTATTTAATTGCATCACACTATTTATTGAAATGGGGAGCAACTCTGACCGTTTTGAGAAGATCACTGTAAGTGTATGTCAGAATTTTCTGAATTATATCTTACAATCCATGTCATAAATGCATCTTTATATATTTGCATATTATATACCACCACGATGGTACTCCAAGAACTTTTGTTAAACTTCAGTATGTTGTCTCACCCTTTCAATTTTCCTGCCCTCACCATTCATCCAGGGCTCACTCTAGGGAAAAAATTGCCTCCTGTGTCAGCAAACTCTCTGCCTCCCTCAGAGAACTCACATTTATAGGAGAATTAAGAAGATATAGATGTTTCTGGTAACAGAATGTGTTCTGCGTAAGCCTTAACCTTGTTTTCTTCAGAATTGAAAGATGCTGTGGGTCTTTGATGTTCCATAGAAGAAAGAGTGGAACCTTCTCCTTCTGTCACCAAATAGAAGTCTTCCTCTTCGTCCTCATTTGCTAGCCAAGGAGACATATGTTCCCTTGGGTTAGTCAAGGGTTTGGACTCATGAGATGTTTTGCTCTGGGGCTAGAAATGAATTTATTTTCCTACAGTGGTGGTGAGGAAAGGTCTCTGAAAAAATTTGGACCACTAAGTGGTAAGAGTAAAGGGAATCACCTCTGATGAAAATTTATTCATTATGTAAATTGGAGAATGCAGAAACTTTCTTGAAAATTTGATTCTTGGTTTCAAAACTAAATATTTCTGCCACACAAAGGCAGTCTTCAGTTACTTCTCTGTTGATTTGTCGAGGCAGTATCATGGTAATATGTAACATAGTTTTTAAGCCAATTTCTATTAATATGATAATGTTTTTTGGGCACAACATAGAAGTGAAATAGATTTTATTTTTAAAGGCATGATCAAGTCAGTGAAAACAATAAATGATTGACTTACTGAATGCGAAAGCAATATGTTAACGTTTTACTACATAATCTTGATATAAGCAAACCCAGGTATCCTCATCTTTCTGTAATTAAATAATTACTTCTCTTCATGCCTCAGTATTGGGACTGTTCAAGATTACAAACAACTGCAGACAGAATTTTCTTCCTTTTTCCTGTCTTCTTTCTTCAACCTGTTACTGTAACCTAAAAATCACCATACTTTTTGAGATCTTGCCTCTTTCGTGTGCCTAGAAATTAAACTGAGTCCCAAAGTAGAGCTTTCCTGAAATCACAAGTCAACCACAGAGCAGATAATTTGCTTGAAATAAACTGAGTTGAATAAATTGAATCATTCAAGATGATTGAAAAAGGACTTTGGGCCAGATACCCAGAAAAACCTTCAAAGGTTCAAATCCATCTCTCCTCCTCAAAGTACAAAGTATCACGATAAAAGACTGTGCTTTCTGTTTGATTGGTCGCTTATGCCAAAGTGCACCTGTTTTTTTTTCATTCAATGTGCTTATAAATAACCATTGATCTGGAAAGCTGAGTTAAATCTCAACCCAAAAATGTTACAGTTAGTGACTTTAATTTCCTAATATAGTTTAATTATTTATAATCAATAAACATTAGATCATAACAGTATTGAGCTTTCCTTTGATTTCTTTATTCTAGATTATTTCAATTTTCATTAATATGGAATATGTTATACCAGTGTGTTTTTTGTTTTTCCAACTGATAATTTTGCAACATTCTCTGGCATTTAAGTTTTGTTTTATTTTAGTTTTTGGTTTTTGTGGTATTGGAGCTTGAACCCAGCACCCTCACACTGAGTTATATCCTCACCCTTTTATTATTACTACTGCTTGTTTTTTAAACTTCTGACACAATGTCTTGCTGAGTTACTTCATTTGGCTTCAAACTTGTGATCATCCTGTCTCAGACTACAAAGCCACTGGGATTACAGGCATGTCCTGTGCAGGTCAGCAGTTGTTTTTAAATATGAATAAATTTGTGGTAACTGGAAAGCAATTAACCTTGAGCATCATAATATTTTCCTGAAACTTGTAACTAAAGTGTCATAAGTGGAAACACAGTTTTTATAAACAATAAACACTACTTTGAAATTTAAATTTTGAAGTGCAAGCCCTACATATAGTCCATTAAATCATAGATTATGATATAGCTTTCCTTTTCCTAAAGATCTTAAACAAAAATACTTTCCTCAAATTCTTAAGTGCAGCTGCTTTTTTTTCTATGATATGCATTTGAACATTTTTATTTACACATAGTATTCACCACAGACTTTGTATCCTTACTCCTGTAAAGGTGGCATCCTGGGATCATGTAAAATGGCAAAATGTTCCTTATGATAATACCCATACATAGGGTAAAAATAGAACATATTTCAGTATATCAGGCACGCTAAGTAAATTAGAATGAGAAAAATATTTGTCTTCTTAATTTGAACAATTATTTTTCCAATTTGGGGAGGTTATTGTATCTCTACTGATGTAATATAAAAAGAAAATAAAAAACTAAAGTTCTCTTCCAACTTCCAATAAGTTATAAAAATGAAATAAAATGAGTATTTTAGGACATGCTTAAGCTAATTATACAAAGATCTCCACATAAAATACAAAGGTATGGAAAAAGAAATTCCCCACTCTTCCAATTTGATATTCGTATCCCTCCCATTACTTCAGTAATATTCTAGGAAAAACAAACTTGTTAGAAGTGGATTAATTAATCTAAAAACTCTTATATTTGAATTATAACTACATCATTATTATTTAATGGATAAAAGCATAAGGCAAAGTATTATATGGGTTTCTTTGGACAAATCAGTAGTTGCTTTTTAGTTGCTTTTAGCATCATCTGAGCAGCAGCTATACCACTTCTGAAACTGTGGAAAACCTTTTATCTATAGATTCTAAAAAGGAAATGATAGCTCTTTTTGGTGTTCCATGAAGAAAAATCTGAGTAGTTCTACATATAATTGCACTGGGGCTACTATAATAAAGTCATGAATCTCTGTTGACTGAATTTTTTTTGCCTTGGAACAAATGCAATAATGCAATTCTGAGACATGATTATTCAAAACATTTCTTCTCCTAATTTCTTATTGGTAGGATATTTTCCTATAATATGTGTTCAAAATTGTATCATAAGATTACATTGCAATATATTTTGATAAGATAACATGTTTTCTGAGAGAATAATTTATGAAAAATAAAATTATTTTAAAAGCTATATTGCATAATTAGGTAGAGTTCATGGCATTTGACAATTACTAGATATTATTATGAATGTCTGGGTCAATGTGTAGTGGTAATTAAGATTTTAGAGTAAATATTTCAGAGTTTTAGAACCATTTGAACTGTACAATTCTGAATTAATGATAGACATGATAGTACAATTAGAGCACATAGTAGTGCTGAACTTAAAACAGTAGCTACATGTTAGTGGAGCAGTAATTAGTAGGATGTCATTTTATTTGAAACCCTTGGGTTTGGCATTGTAATTTTGGGGGGGAAAGGTAACATGGAACATAAAGTTTGGCAAATAACTCCCCATTTAAAATCCAGTTAAGCTCTGGTATACTATCACACAGTATTGTGACTATTCCATTGACATGTATACATTGTACACTTCAAAAAACTAAAGAAAGGGTTTTGAAACTTTTTTCCACAGAGAAGTGATAAATGTTTGAGGAGCTAGATATGTTTAATCTGATTTAAATATCATGTAATATATCAAACATTATATGGTACTCCAATGATATGTACAAGTTAAATTTTTCTATATAAGTTAAAGAAATTAAAGTATAATTAAATCCACATGGGGTATACAATTATTTGAAGGCTAGCAAAAAGTAGGGAAATGTTGCTTATAATTTATATCTTCAGAAGTAAACAAAAATACACAGACTAATGTATTAAATTCTCTCTGAAACTGTACATGTGTGAGAGTTACTCTAATACTAACTTATAAAGGAAAAGTTATGTGTTGTTTTATAAGTGTAGGACTCCATGGCCTCAGTTTCCATGTTTTGTCAACCAATCCCTTGGTATGTGTGAACTGTTATTTCTGTGCTTGCATGACTCCCCATGCTTTCCTATCTCAAAGCATCACCATTTAATTGTGTTCTTCTTAGCTCTGAAATTTGGAAATCTCTCCTTCATTTTGAGCAGTTATTTTGACGCTTGAAAAGGGTTACCTAATGTTGTTTTGACATTTTTAAAGTGTTTGATCTTTGCAGAATATGGAAGAGATTTTAAGCAATGTAGCTACTATCTGAAATGCAAGAGCTGCTGAATAATGCAAGCCTCTTTTTTTCAGTCTTTTTAAAATCTAAATTCAAATACTGTTTTGGGGGTCTTTCTGTGAAGTTCTGATTCCATAGGGTTCAAGCCTATGGCCCTAAATGTGTCACTACAGTTCACTGGTATTTCATTTGTGAATTTCATCTATTTAACATTGACCTCTAGAACTAAAATAGAAATGGGTTCAGTAAAGAATCAGTGCGTTAGAACTCTGTCTAGTAAAAGTATTTTCATCCTTTTTTTGTTAGACAATAGAAATGATTTTCCACAATTTTATACTATAATTGTAAATCATTCTAGGCCACAAAAGGGATTTTGGACAAGCAAATAAAACAATGTGTTCCTACAGTGAGTTGAGGTCCATGGTGGCAAGATGTGTGGTAGCTAACCCTTAACAAAAGCTTCCTTTATGCCTGCCTTACATGTTTTGCACACATTATTTTCCACTTACAACATCATTTAATTTTATAACATCCCAATATCTTGGACAAGATTGTTATCTACATTTTAGAAATGAGAACACTATGTCACTTCGAGCCCATTAAGTGGCCAACCCAGGATAGTTTTCCTCCACATCCCTCATTCTTCTTCAACTTTCAGAACTGACTAAAGCATCGAGACCCTGCATTCTGGAAAGGTGATCTGTAGAACTAAAAGTCATCGCTTTCTACAACTTGCCTGAGGAAGTTGTTGGAAGATACACAATAAGAAAAAAAAGGTGTCTCAATCTTAAGGTAGTGTAGGCCCCTCTGCTGCAGTGACAAGTTCTACCGAATTTTCTAGATTATTTCCTGCTTAACCCAAAGTTTCTGCTGGGTCTGGAAGACTGACCAGGGGAGGCATCCTCAGGTTGCAGTCCCCAGTACAAGTACAGCTGATTGTGCAGGTCCAAGTTTCCTCTTCTAGGGATCAAAACAAGGGACAGGTGACTGGAGACACCAGCCATGGGTCCTGCAGGAATCAAGGGTCAAAACCAGTCACACAGTGTCAGGGTTCAGTTCTAAAATGTCCCCCAGAGCTCTTGTGTTCAGAGGGGCTTTTCTAAAGCCATTGGATTCTGTAGAGTTTAATTTATTCAGTGTATGAATCCGTCGATGTATTCAGTATTTGATGGCATTATTGGGAATGATGGAAATAGGAGGTGATGTCCAGGTGGAGGGAGTGGAGCTTGGAGGCTGACTCTGGGGACTGCAGAATGTTTAGTCTTCAGCCTGTCTTTTCATACCTTGCCCTGTACTCTGACTCCCACAGGTAAGCAGTTTTGCTCCACCATACACTTCCTCAGTGATGTTCTGCCACATCTCTGGCCTACAGCAATTCTAACACACAAGACTTTGTCTGTAGCTTACATATACCCAGAAAGGGAAGGAGATCTGCATCTGGGTAAGCTTAAAGCATACATACCACTTCTAAAAGGCTAATTATGTGTGTGTGTGTGTGTGTGTATTCTGTTTTTATAGACTTTAATATTAGCTGATATTCCTTTAATCTCACCATAAATTAGAATGCCATTTTATTCTAAACAGATATGGAGTGAAAAGCCCTGTTAAAAAGAGACTGACAATTTTACTATGATAAGGGTTGGTTTTAGTATAGCCTTTAACTGTATATAATATTTGAATTTTGACTGAGGATACACACCAACCTACATTTTTATTTAACCATTTCAGAATTGTATGCCAAATTATCTTTTATTAAATTCCTAAATAAAGAATTTTTTCAATAAATTAGGTTAAATTACAAATAATTTTTCTTCAAAGAATGCATAAGCCTGATTTGAAAATACATACTGATTTATCTAGAATATTCAAAGAAATATATGGTACTACTACAGAAATGTAGTTCACTGATGCTATAAATTGTGACATGTTTATATAATATTCATCTAGAAGACAGTGTATTGATATAAAAACATCAGTTTGAAACCAGAAAACCCAGGTGTGAGGCCTACCTGGCTCATCCTAAGCGTTCCTAATCAGATCAGTAAAATGTCACAGGATGGGCTTAAAATGAAGGTCATGTCACACTTTTCCTGTCTAGTGGCCTGAGCAGTCTTCATAGACACATTCTGGGCTCATCCAACCTTGAATGACAATGTAAGGAGCAGGGAGAGAAATAGCAGAAGGACACCATCACTGAGCAAACCCAACAAATTCCTGCAAGTTTCAATTCCTTTCTGGGGATCAATGCTGAAATGTAAAATAGATTAAGTAAAATGAGTATGCAACTTCAGTGTTCTACAGATCTCCAGCCTTTGGAATCAATAACTTTAGAGAAATTGAATCCAGAAAACCACCAAATTATTCTACTTTGTTGTTC